GTAAGAATGTGAATGTGAGAGTGTTAAAACAACATCCTGCCCCTTTAAAATTCTTCCTAGCTGACTAGGTTAATTCCATTGAGTTCTTCTTGAAAGGCAGGAAAGAATTTTAAGGGGCCACTGCTGCAGTGTTTATTGTTGTTATTAATTACACATATTAAAGGTGCCTATCACCATAACATCTGGGTGCTATCTGCATTTGATTATTTATATATAAAAAATTGTCCACCCTTGTGACAATTTTAATCAAGTGTTTCAGCTGATAATTGCAAGCTGTCAAGGTTAATACAATAAGGCTCATCTCTAATTCTTTTTCCATTTCCCTCCAAGAAAAAAAAAACCCTCAGGGATAATGGCTATGGTTTCTATATTCCCAACTCATCAGGGAGTGTCCTGCATTGAACCACCTTTATTGAAAAGTTACATCGATTCAATATATAGTAATACAGGCAAAAATAATTACAGCTTTGCTAGCAGTGTAAGACCTTAATCCAAACCTCACAAACATTCAATAAAAAGTGATACAGGCAGGGAATAGGCTTTTGACAGTGCAGCCCCAAAGGGAAGTTGGGGGGAGGAAGGAAAAAAATCTTATATAAGAAACACCTTAAAACACTTCCAGGCCACTTAGAAATATTAAAAACCTGGTTTTTGCTTAAATTTTGCTGGCATGGTTGTTGGTTCAGTGTGAAAAAACAAAATCACATCCACAGCCAACATAGCTCCACTGGCAAGAGCTCACAGTTCTACCAAGAATAAATACCACATACATAACCTTTTCAAGTAGAACTTGTACATCTGAGGAGCTGGCTTAAGCTGAATATGAGGCAGAGTCGAAATGAAACTCAGGAAAAAATGTATGTATGGACACACATCAGTTTAGCCTCCACTTTTAAACAGCTGCACCATTTTAACATAACCAGTAAATTAGTGCAAGAAGCAAGGATTTCTTAGCATGGTATCTTTTATTAAACTAAATGTGTAGCTGGGATACAGTCAGACAAGCTTTCAAATGCAAAACATTCTACCTCAGGTCACCTGAGGAAAAATGTCTTGCATTTGAAAGCTTGTCTACCTTTATCCCAAGTACACAGCTGGTCTAACACAAGATAAATTTTTGCCTCCCACACAATTTCTGGACTATCATGGCTACAACATCACTCTTACAATATAGTAAGTTAGTGCAGCTTCTTCATGAAGCAAGTTCAGTTCCTTCCCACCTCCACAGAAGAGGCAGAGAAGGTGGTTGTAGTTAATGCACAGGGGTTAGCTTTTTTGGTTCCTGTTCCAATGAATCATTGACAGGTTATGAAAGAACATTCTTCAGAAGCTCACAGGACAGTGGTTACTGCTGCCTTCTTTTGGGTAAGGAGTGGCACTATCAGAAGTTGTCCCTTCACCTGTTAGGCCGCATCCAGATGAGCGCAGACGTGTGGTATGCAGTGCTGCCCACCTGTCTGCAGTGCCACCCTTCATACACACAGGTGTTCCAAGCACTGTTATCTTGCAGGCTTGGAGGGGGAGGGTTGACCCTGGGAGATCCCAGGATCAAAAAACCTGCACTTTAAAAAAGCGGGGCAGTGCACGTCGTAGCAGCACACACCGCCCAAAACTGGAGCCTGGCCTGCCAGAGGTATGTGCTGGCTGCCAGCCAGGCTCCCAGCTGCAGGAGTGCCATGGCTCCAGCTCCATGAAGCACCCAGGTAAGGCTGCTGGGGCCAGCACAGTTGCTGGCCCCAGCCTCCCCTGCCCCAATTATGTGCATGGCACGAGCATTCCCTGGGGCAAGTAGCAGTGGCACAAGGTGTGCTGCTGCTTCTTGTCCCCGGGGAAGCAAAAATCAACGCTCATGTAGACGCAGCCTTAGTGGCTTGGTTTCCCTTCCTGTATAATAGGACAAAACACCACGTACCTGTTTCACTTGAGGTTTTGAAAATGAGCTCCTTGCATGAAAAATGCTAAGAAGTTCTTAACCTTTTCAAGAACAACACCCCAGTCCTTCTTCCTTTTTAAAATAAAGGCATTTTACTCTTTGTGGACAGTTTAATCTCAGGTGGTCAGTTACACTTCCCTCTTGTTACTCTGCTCTCATATTAGAGCAGTTTCTGTCCAGCTCATCACTACTAAACAAAATGATCCAAGTTATAAAGCACATGTGCAGCTGGTTGAGATCATCACCGTCAGTTTAAGTGTGCCAGCTGAAAACCTGCCTGTAGTTTTTACTTATTTATTTACACTATGGTGAAATAAGAGGCCTGCTATGCCCAAACTTTAAGTACATGAGTTATTTTATGGCTTTCAATGGGAATAGATTTTTGCTGGATTCGGACCTTCCACTGCTTTGAAAAGATGACACACTAGCTGTTATAGAAACAAAACTCAGGTTACCCAACAAAAGTTTTGGGGACAGTACCAGTTTGAGGCAGTTTTAAATGATACTGCTGCCATTATGAAAAATATAACTGCAATTTAATCCACTGTAAGTGCCTCATAAATAACTGACATATGTCCAATGTTCTGGAATGTAGTAGATAAAGCTAAAGAGACACATGATGTAAATCAAATTAAAGGGAGGCTGGTCCAATACTGCTTCTGAAGCTAAATTAGCAAAATCAACTTTTGGTCATTGTCAGATAAACTGGGATTTGTAACTGTAGGGCCAGGCCTAAAGAGCTTCATGTGCAAACTCCCATTTACCTCCATGTTATCCATCCCAGTAACTATATAACCATTTCCATAGATAAGAAAGCTGAAGGTAGAGTGGTTGAGGGGAAAAACAGGTGGACCCTATGCAGAGTTTTGCCCCTTCAAAAAGGAGAAGTGGTAATTGAGTCTATGAAGTCCAGTAGGGATTTTACTGATTTTATGCATAGGACTATGCATAAACAAATGCATCACAAATACCATGGTGATGGACAGCATTATAAACAGAATCATAGAAAATTAGGGTTGGAAGAGACCTCAGGGCTAGGGACAGAAGCTACACATAAGCTGGTTTAAGTGATCAGAAACTGGTTTAAACTTGTAACAGAACAGAAGTTCAGTGCATATAAACTGGTTTCAAAATGTAAAACCAGTTTATGGAACTTCTGTCCCAGACCCCTTTCTTATTCAAGTTAAATCAGAGTCCCCCAGCATGCTTTGCAGCCCTGGGCTGGGCTGTGCTTTCTGCTCCAGCAGAGCAGGATTGGCCTTGCCCCTTTGCCCTCTACCCTAAGCAGTGAGGGCTGGCTGACAAGGGGGTGGGGGTAGGAAACCCAACTGGCACAGCCAGGTCTGCCTGGCGGGGGTGGAGCAGCCCTTGCCAGACTTTTCACCACTGGAGTGGAGGGGGTGGAGGGGGCATGGGCCAGCAGGCTCAGGGGGAGGGAGGGGGATTACACCCCCACTACCTGCTTCTCTCTCTCACCCACAGGACCTCAGCTCAGGTCTGCCCAGCTTTCCCCCCTTCTCACCACTCTAGTGGTGGGGCGAGTGGCCACAGCCTGCCTGGGCAGCTGCCTAAGGTGAAGTGGGGGAGGGAAGGGATTAAACCCCCTGTCTCCCCTCTCTCCCACCAGCATGGGGACCCCAGCCAGACAGTCGCTGGGCCCCCGTGCCGGGGGGAGAGAGGGGAGACAGGGTGGCGTAATCCTCCCTCTCCCCCTTTGCCTGTGGTGCTGTCCGGGCTGGTGTCTGGGCACACCCAAACCTAGCAAGGGCTGCTTCCCCCTTCCCCCTCCAGGCACACCCTGGCTGGGGTCCCTGCAGGCCGGGATGGGGGTTTAAACCCCTCCCCAACCATACTCAACCACCTGCCAGGATGTGGCCATGCCGCCCCCCACCCCCAGCTCACCTTCGCTCCAGCCTTGCTGCTGCTGCCAAAGGGAAAGGAGGGCTCGTTCCAGCACCCCTGGCTTCTAGCCTGAGCCACTGCAGGCATGTGGCTGCATTTCCAGAGTCAAAAGTGAATGTCTATTCATTTACAAATTGGTTCAATCTATGCAGGTTAGACTAGCCTGCAAAGACTGAATCTATTCAGGCTCAGGCTTTTTGAATGTCTGTACTTAGCCCAGGAGGTCATCTAGTATAATCCCCTGCTCAAAAGTAGGACCATTCCCAAATATATCATAAGTAGACAAGGAAGTGATGACTTCAGTACTACAGTGCCAATATTCCTTAAAAAAAAACAAAAATCAAATTAAATCAAATCTTAAGTAGATGCCCATAAAAATAAACCTTATTTTTAACAAGTAAAATTTTTCTACAGTACTAATTCAAAATTAATAATTAACAAGGTCAAGGCAGGAAAACATTCTCTCATGAGAGCTTAGGGGGTGGGGGGGAGGTATTCTTATTATGTAATTTGGTGCAGATAGAAGGTTCTGGATTGACAGGCCTGGAGAAGAAAGCCCTCTAACTTGCACACTGCCAACAAGTAAGAGCCCCGTTCTGAGTGTTTATGTCCAGTTAATTTTTGGCCCCTCTGCTGTGATTGTTTACCAGAAGACCCAGCAGTGATGGTCTGTTTATAAACCTCAGCTCAAATTTTCAAAAATGAACAGTGATTCTGCAAGGCCAACTTGAGAAGCCCTAGAGGAGACTGATTTTCAAAGAATGCCAAAGACCCAGCATCTGAAAAATTGATCTAGAAAACATCTCAGATTAAGCACTCAAAATTATCACTTCTGAAAACTTGAGTCCTGACTGAACTGTACTGAAATCACTTACTTAACCAATACAGTACTATCAGAGAGCAATAACTTGACAGCAAGTTTAGAATAAACTGGCAAGCTAGTTGCTTTAAGGTTGCTAGCTCCTCTTTTCTAAGTGCTAAATAGGAACCGAAAGTGCAGTAACATCTTCCCTTGTACCACTTTTCTATAAAACATTGCCAAAGGGAAGGCTGATCTCAGATGGGAGGAGAGGCCTCATTCAATTTTCCTGTTAATATACAGCCCTTTGTTTTGCTTCTGTAAAATACTTGCCAAAATCTCAACCTTGTCAATCTTTGTTTTCAGCCATGACTGGTCTTGTCGTTCCCCCGATGTAAAGAAGAGGAGAATTTCCCCTCTTTTTTCCCCTCCCTCTCTCATTTTTCTTTTACAGCACAAAACTACTTATTGTGATGGACCACTGAAAAAGAAAAACATATAGCACTACAAGCTTTTTGGGGGGAGGGAAGGGGGGGACATGCCCAGAAACACCACCTCCCCCAGTTTTTTAAGATTGGACAAGATACAAGTCTGCATCTTTTACATGTTCCAGATATCTTACATAGCCACGTTAACTCCTAAAGCATCATGAACAAGGAATCAGCCAAGAGCCAGAACGAGTGACAGTTGGGAAAATGGGGTTAAAAGTACAAGGTCTTTCTTGACGAACATGAAACCTTCCTAACATTTGTAAAATATTGAAAAGGAGAAAGAAATTGGCAAACAATTCAAGCTTGATATTTTGGATACTATTTGTTTTACTTTGTAGGAAAAAAAAGTTGAAGTTTCTATTTTCTATGGAGCCTTTCAGATACAAATTTAGTTTATGCAGAAAAAGAAAACCAACAAAACAGGGTACCAGCATGGAAGAATATCTAGGACAAACTGAGATGAATGACGGAACTTTGGTGTATGTGTGTGTTTGCTTATAGTTTAACCTCTTTAAAATGTAAGATGTTTTACAATTATTTAAATAAATAAACTTGTAACTTATTGTATGTAGAGGTAGAAATTAAGACTTTTTTGGACTTTTTCCTCCTGTTGTACAATGAAGAAAAAATGATGCAAAAATGTAGTGACAAGTTTAAGAGACGTACTATTATTGCTGCAGTTGCTCCTCACTTCTGTCCCCCACCTCTTATTGAATCATGTGCAAGGATGTATAGGATTCTTTCTGATTAAGTCATCACAAACTTTTAAACACATTATGGTATATACAAGTTAACAGTTAATGTATGAATTTTATCCACGTTTATTTTTCCTCCACCTTTTGTTTCAGTTTAGGTTTTCAGGTACTGCGAAAAGGTGGGTAGTTTCAAAGAACCTATCAGTAAATGACTAGCATCCTGGGTTTTGAACAAACCAGACTGACACATGGTACTGAGATAATTTTTCAAATATCAACATGAATTGGGAGGAAGGGTTCTCTAGCCAATTGTTTTCCATGAAGATAGGGCAGATTTAGAAAGTTTGGTCACACTTTATATTAAGGGTGTATTCATAATGAGTTAATGCATGATAAACAGATACATACTTATATTTACAATCCAGTAAGGTATCTATAACATTGCTGATATGCCTGCATCAGAAACTGGTAAAAAATGGTAAGGTAAGTATTTTCCATGAAGAGTTCCATAGAAACAAAAATTTGTTTTGTTTGAAATTTTGTGCATGTCAATGAAAATGAGGAACCAAAATTTTACAGTTTTTTTCCATTTTCCATTTCCTGTTTCAAAGTGGGAAGATGAACCAGGGAGTTTGGAGGCCAGAAACAAACAAATGAAAAATGTGCAGTTTTCTGAAGGAAAAACCCAATATTTCCTTTTAATTGAAAAGCCATTTTTATTGGAAAAAAACTTGATCCATTCTACTTACAGTTATCTGTAATATATACTATTCATGCTTGTAACAATCATTATTTAACTATTTATAAACCCTTAATACAAAGCAACACCCCAAATTCTATTTGCCCATTCACCCAGTAATTTTGCTTGATGGGCAAGTAGCATAATAGTGTTTTCTGTGATCATTCAATGTGATAGAAGATGAGCAAGTCCATACTGGACTCTGAATAGTAGATGTGACAGTTTTGCAATACTAAGGTAATTTATTAACACTTTGAGGGAGTGGATTAGAAAGAGAATATAAAGCTTTTTTTAAAATCAATTAATCAAATCATTCCAGGGTAATTAGTGACTGAAAGTTGCTTGGTGTCCTGTGTGGGACTTTATAAATGTTAGTTTAGTCTCTAGCAGACAAACCTCTCTGCATCTAAAAAACAGCACTGCAAGACCACAGTCTGCAGGCGAACATCACTAACTTTTCTTGTTGAAATAACCCAGTAGTATCAAAGAAACTGATTAGTTATGGCTACAACATCATGCCAACATTACCATTAAAATTAAAAATGTCTTGATTTTTCATTAGAAGTATTTTGCTAAAAATTTAGCCTGTAGGTTGATAAACATTAAAGCTTAGATGCATAGAAAATTGATTTAAATTCTCAGGAAGACTCAAGAAGAATTGGGTCACTTAAAGCAAATGCTTCTGAAATTTTCCTTTGACATATATAAAAAATACATATTTATATGAGGTCTACCTAGTCACTTGATTGGAAGAGCCAAGAGTCTGCTTTGGAATCAAACTGAAAACCTTCCTAAAAGACTAGTTTGAGTACTTACAGGAAGAGACATTAATAGAGCTACTTAATAAGATGTACACAAATAAAAAAGGACTTCTTGGTTTGATCTCAGCTGAACAAATATAACAAAAACATAGGAATGATTTAGGTGTGAATTTTGCTCATGCATGCAAAGCATTGCAATCAAGGTGAACACAGAACTCGCTGGTAGCTTTACAGAGAAAACATGCACATAAATACAAACAATCACCAAGAAAATGTTGACAATGAAATAAGAATTTGCAGTGGCAAAAAATGAAAGCAAACAAAAACCCCACAAAAATAGTGTACAAATTTGTGTGTAAGGATTTTTAAAAAATCATAATACATCTGTCCCTCTTTAATTATTGCTGTTTAACAACTCCCTATCAAGTTTCCTTTTTGCCACTAGAATTAAAGAGTGTTGTGATAGGCAATTACAAATGTTATCATGATTTTAAAAGAATATGATTTATTCCATTATTTATCTTGATATAGCATCTTATTTTCCCTATTTCTTTGCACATTTTCAATATGCATGGGCTTTTTAAAGACCATTCTCTCCCTCTTGTAAATTTACATTTATTTCTCCCAACTGTATAGTTTTGTTTTGTTTTTTTGCTTTGTCAGTTATTATATACAGTATGAAGTTGCTATGCACAGAGCTTTTTGTAAAGATAGCTTTTTTGTTTACTGTTTTTAATGGTCCTACTTATGGAAGAATATCTTGTTTGTAAAATGAATATGTCTACTTCAGTTTTAAACTTTAAATTATCCTAACAAAAATAAATTTTTTGTACTGTAAACAATTGGAATCATCTGCGTTTCTGAGAGCTAAACGTCTTAACCTCTATTGCTCTCTCTTTTGGTACTGCCACGGTGATAACATTTTTAGATAGTAAGGATGACTTACTATTGAAATAGGCTTCACCACTTGGAGTGTTTATATCACAACTGTGTGCTTTTCTAAGATACATTCAGCTACTAGTTTTTTGGGCAAACTGTAGGAACTGCTGATTGAAATCTATGGCTCATGTTATACAGGACAGATTACATGATTATAGTAGTCACCCCTTCCGACGTCAGCATTTAGCTGGTTGAAAAATCTGGATGACATCTCCTTGAGAATGTAGTTAATCTGAGTGGGGAGAGGGAGCTTTCTTTCACTAAAATGTCACTTTTTTTAAGTAGCAATCTAACAATCTAAAACTCATTCCTTAACAGCTGGAGAGAATTTCAAGGAATATGAAAAAACAGATTTCAATTTGGGGCATAATTATTTTTTAAGATGGTAAGTAGAGAACAATTAATCAGAGTTGAGTGAACAGACTAGAATAAACATTTTCCCATTAAAATTAAAAGCACTGAATATGCTGAGTTGCTTTGACTAATGGGTCATGTTCCACTTAATCCAGTCTTACAGACTAGACTGCTTCCAGCCCAGAACAAAGGGGTGGTGCCTTCGTCTGTAGTAACCTTATGAGGACACCGTTTACAATCACTGTTTCTTCTTTCTCC